CATAGGCAGGTTTATACAGTGCATTTTTACTCGCGTCATTCTTAAAAAAAGCCATGTTTGTTTCCTTCCTGAATATCTAATGTTAAAATTGTTTGTGAGAGACTGCATTGCCAAAATAGGATAAAAGCTAATATACCTGAATTGCACAAGCTCAAGTCAACTCAAGATTGTATTTTATCCAGCGTTTCACTGAAAAAAGAAAAAACAAGGTACTTTTTGCAATTTTCGGCGTGCGAAGTTAATTTTTTTAAAAAACTACATGACAAACGGAATAATTCACATACTTATGGTTAATACTGATCATAAGTTTGGAGAGGTTTCCTAAAATAGGAACATATACCATTAGGATTACAGTAAAACATATTACGAGAGAGAGAGAGAGAGAGAGAGAGAGAGAGAGAGAGAGAGAGAGAGAGAGAGAGAGAGAGAGAGAGAGAGATGTAAAATAATGAAACCCTAAAATGTAAACTAATGGAATCCTAAAAAGGACTTCGCCGCTTTGGATCCTAGTGGTTACTGCGTCCGCCTCAGATGCGAGAGGTCGTGGGTTCGAACCCTGGCTGAGTCATACCAAACAACTATAAAACTGGTACTAATAGCTTTTTCTCTAGTCGCTCAGTATTAAGTGGTTAGTATTAGGACTGGTCGACATGGTGTCAGGATAATGTGACTGGGTGGGATATCATGCTATATGTCTGCGGCACGATGCGCCAGTGCTAGACATCACTGTAAACTGCCAAACTGCAGACATCATAGCGATATTACTGAAAAAAAACCCGTAAAAACTAAATTAAAAATCCAAATCACACACACACACACACACACACACACACACACACACACACATACACACACACTAAAATGGACTCTCGGGTCTAGCATTCTACAAAAATTACTGGTAGATGAGTCTTGTTGTTGTTGTTGTTGGGCTAAACGCCATTTTTCAGCACACGATAGACTATTCATGGCGGCCAGTATTAATGGTGGAGGAAGAAACCGGGAAATCACCGGAAAAAAACCACCGACCCACGAGAAGCTACTGGCAAGCTTTCTCACATATCCACATTCGCCGAATCCTAGACTCGAACACACACAGACAGAGGTGATGCGTTATGGTATATCCAGTTGCAAGTTAAGAAATTCTGGATAAAGAAATCATGACTCAGAATTCACAACAAGCAGTATTTATTCTCAACATAAGAAAGTATAACCCAATTTTAAACACTTTTTTGGTGTTTTGTTGGGGGGGGGGTCAGGAAGAGACTTTTAAGGATTATCTCGAAATGTTATAACATGAATCTTGAATTAATGTTATAAAGATATGCTCTAAATTTGGAGAGAAAAAAAAGAGCCTCTAATTAGTAGTGAAGCAAATGCATCTGTGCTCTCTTGTAGCAGAATACGAATTGTTCCCACTCCTCTACCTACCTGACGGAACAGTCTGAAAAAAAAATCAAGCTTGAAATCACTGCCTATCAGCACCCGTGAAATCTATGGATTTTCAGGAATGAATGCATGGAAACCGCATTGCTACTTGTCACACATTTTGTGAAAGCTCTTTGTAATCACAGGAGTCTGCAGTTTTATCAATAAAGCAAGACGAAATTTCTGATAACATGAAATCAACTTAACGGTATTATAAATTAAAACAAGGAATGCAAGCGTGATCACAACCCTCCGCTCGATTCGAATTTTCTCACGAGTCTTTTATCCCTTCAGAATTGCACGAAGACTGAAAAACTACACATAGCCATTCAAAAAACAGTAACGTGTCTTCTCATCACTATCGGACGACCATCGCATGAATCCAAACCAGCGAATTAACCTTTATTTTCACCATTACGGTCACAAACCCTTAAAAAATAAACCACTGGAGGAAGAAGCCCATTTCTACTAGTTTCTGTCCTGCAGTAAATATGCTTTAGGGTCAAATAATCGTTCCGAACACGGCGCAGAATCTGTTCTTTTTTAGTACTAGGCTCTAATATTTGAATGTGATGACGTCATCAATCGTTATTTGTACTATCAGAACTTTTATTATATATTTCTGTTCTGGATATGTATATAAAAAAATATTAAATGATTCAATATGAAATATATAATAAGTTAAACATTTTATCTTGTAAATTAATTTCATGACGTTATTTAGCCTGTGGTAGAAATGGGCTACTTCCTCCAATGGTTCATTTTTCATAGGTACATATCACCTGTTGCAAATAGGTCGAACATTGTTACATTTTATCTGAACACATATTTTTGTTTTAGAATTCAAAAAGTTTGAACATTGTTACATTTTATTTAAACGCATAGTTTGGTTTTAGAATTCAGAGTTAACCATAGGCAGGTTTATACAGTGCATTTTTACTCGCGTCATTCTTAAAAAAAGCCATGTTTGTTTCCTTCCTGAATATCTAATGTTAAAATTGTTTGTGAGAGACTGCATTGCCAAAATAGGATAAAAGCTAATATACCTGAATTGCACAAGCTCAAGTCAACTCAAGATTGTATTTTATCCAGCGTTTCACTGAAAAAAGAAAAAACAAGGTACTTTTTGCAATTTTCGGCGTGCGAAGTTAATTTTTTTTAAAAAACTACATGACAAACGGAATAATTCACATACTTATGGTTAATACTGATCATAAGTTTGGAGAGGTTTCCTAAAATAGGAACATATACCATTAGGATTACAGTAAAACATATTACGAGAGAGAGAGAGAGAGAGAGAGAGAGAGAGAGAGAGAGAGAGAGAGAGAGAGAGAGAGAGAGAGAGAGAGAGAGAGTGTGTGTGTGTGTGTGTGTGTGTGTGTGTGTGTGTGTGAGCGGTGGGGCGGGGCTTGGCTGGGACCGGTGCGGGGGACTAGGTTGCTGTGTCTGTGGTTTGGGGGCGATAGTGTGCGTCACAATTATATGAGTAACGGGTCAAAGTTGATGAAGGACCCAGACCGGGGCCAAGCGCCCTCTTAAAGGAATTGTGGCCCATCCTGGGGTCATAAGCAGTTGCAGAAGCACTCCGTGCACACACGAGGCATAGCGCACACACGAGGAATAGCGCACAAACGAGGCACGCCGCGGTATGGATCTACAAAACATAGGAGGGGGACTTCAGGGAAGACATATGCGTGGAAAACAACAACACAATGGACACACTCGCTGGATTTCTGATGGGATAGCGCTGAAATTGAAATTCCTGGAACAAGGGAAGAAAGAATAACATACAAAATTGGACAGACGGTACACTGCACGCATTCAGCAAGGTTGATCAATATTTAAGCATCTAAATATTTAAATATTACATCATTTATCCGTTTAAATACTTGGTTCCTAACATCAAAATAACTAAATATCAACGTAGCTAGTATGATACTAAATTTAGTACGTATTGACATTGTCGTCTGATTTTGTTCATTGTGAGTGGGTTAATATGTAAGGTTTAAGAAAGGATTGGATATTTCTAGATTAATAACCATAGAAGAAAGGATTGGAAATTTCTAGATTAATGAATATACAAAATAAACAAAACAATAACAATAGTACCTACGTTATGTATAAATAGGGATGGGCAAACAGAATTAACTGGAAGAAAGAAAGATAGAATGGTAAAAAAAAATACAAAAAAAAAACAACGTAGGATACCATTTTGAGGTCTGTTTTTTTTTTTTGCGGTATTATAGAACAAAGGTAATTAAGACAACCACACATTATATGTGAGAAATTTTTCTTTTTCTCGTCCATTCATCAATTTTATAAAAAAAGGTTGTGTGGATATTTGTTGTCGAAATTTAAGAGATATGTGTTTTTCAGCACCAGCCACTAACAGCATTGCAAAATTTTCACAAATCTTTAGGCAGGACAAAATCAGCACCAAAACGCACCTTGTTCTATACCAAAATGCGCCTTGTTCTATCGACAGTCTAAACTGAGAGAAAATAGGTCGAATATTTTTTGCTGGGTCTGTGGTTTTGTGGAGATAGTGTCACAACTTTATGAGTAACTGGTCAAAGTTACTGAAAGGCCCAGACCGGGGCCCAGCGCCCTCTTAAAGGGAATATGGCCCAGCCTTTGGTCATAAACAGTCGCAGAAGTACTCGGTGCAAAGCGTGAATATAATCCGATATGCTGATAGTATTTCACAGGATGGCATACATCAAGCAGAGTGGCATAATTTAGATTTTTAAAAGTACGCTAAATACACAAAATTCCAACATAACATCTTTTCATAATTCATAACTCGAGTCTATTTGATACAATTGCACAGGTTGCTCACACAGTTCTGACATAGCAACATCCATAGTAACAAGTGGATACAAATTTCTAAAAGAGATATAGGTGTGGCAAAGCATTTTTTTCGGAACTTGGGGAGCTTTTTGGGACACTTGGAACAACGGCGAGGAGAACCAACATCATGGGAGGCACGGGTGGTGAAGGCTTGCACCGTGTTGAAATGGCTGGCCGGTGTCTTCAGCTTTGTGGGCTTCTTTGGTGGCTTTGGGGCGGTGTTGTCTGGGGCGGTTTGGACAGAGGCTGTTGCATTATCTGCTTTTTAGCGTCCGGTTGTGGTGGTGTGCATTTGGAGAATGATTAAGGTCATTTTAGGGTCTCTGATTCAGCCAGGGATCCGGAAAAAAACTAGCTCTGGGGCCAAGCGCCCTCTTAAAGGGACTGCGGTCCATGTGTGGAATAGTAAGCAGTCGCAGAAGCACTAAGCGACTTAAAACTACTATGCTATGCTATGTATAGTTGATGTGAGGGAATGTTTTCCTTCACGCCTCTGCTGAGGCATATAAATCGATTCATTCGTCAATCGTGTTATATAGCATTGGCTGACCCACTGTATCATTGAGACCTCTAAAAAGAGCATAAATAATATTATCCAAATTAGTAATTGAGTCCCCCTCAGTCACGTTATCTTGACACCAGGCCAACCAGTCCTAAAACTAACCTCTTAATGCTGAGTGCCAAGCGAGGTAGCTGTTAGTACCATTTTTTTAAAGTCTTTGGTATGACCCGGCCGGGGTTCGAACTGTCTACCTCAAGCATCCGAAGCGGGCGCTCTTACCACTAGGCCACCGGAGCGGTTCCATGTACAATTACAAATTTATGACATATAATATGTTTAAATTGCGTCGAAATTAAACACTTCGTGAAAATAAATGCTGTATCTACCCAGTAATATAATGTGATATTTCAAGCATCAGATTCAATGGTGTGTTGATGCAATATTGCGTGCATTTTCTTCATCCTTGAAGTCTTGAATTCTTTAAGAACATTTACTGTCTAGTTTCGGATTCCACTGCCATATATATGATGAAAACTAAAATAGAAAACGTGGTCTCGTGATCAATATGGCTATCTCTTTTCTTTAGCTCAGAAATGTAGTTTCCATAAATGGTTCAACGAAACCATCGCAGAGCACTAGAACCCACGTCTCTCTTACCAACCTTGTCGGTCATAAAATGTTGATCGTAACAGTCATGCATTTGCATTGTTTTGAGAATTATAAAATTATACGTCATGAGGAGGGAATTCCTGCACCTTCATGAAATAAACTCCAACTCCTTCTTCTCTTCATGCACCTCACAGCTAATACGACTGTAAAATGTATCACCGCCATAATGTTGTTTTAAACCCCTAGGGCATCTATACCTAAATTTATCTCCACCTCGCATTAGTCTAGGAGCACATTGACATGATCACATCTTCCTTCTATAATTAAAGATTAAAAAGAGAAAAAAAGAAAAGAAAATTGATCTGCATTGGATACGATGTTATTGGTCATTTGTGACATCTGTCGCGTTTTTACCTTGTAACAACGTCAGCGATGTGCTCGATCTCTGTCATTACTGAATTGCTTGGGGTATTTTTTTCTTTCTTTGTATTTTGTATAATCTTACACTCGGAATCAAGGTCACTGTGGAGAAAAGATCGCCACAAAATGCAGTATATATTGACTGATGCAGGCATTAACGTGTGCATGTTTTCTTCAGGTGGCAATTTGCCACAAAATTTACAGTACTGCGGCAGTGCTTTAATTCTAACAAAGGTAGATAATCCAACTGTGAGGATTTTCCTCCACGTCGGTACAACCCCATTTATAATTTCGCCGAGGCATGCCAACTTTCTATGTGAAGTCAATGACGCACTAAATCATCAGGTTAACACGTATGAGTGTTGGATTGCCATTAAGTGTCAGATATAGAGTGGCCCACTATATTTAATTCCATTAGACCCTTTTTATGTCCCAATATTTCATAAATTGGATACCCATATTAAATTCCAGTTACCGTCATAAAGACCCAATTTATTTATTCCTTAGAGTTAGAGTGGTATCGTGTATTAAATTTTCAAAACTGCCATGCCGAACAACAATGTGTATTCTTTTCTATGTTTTAAAGAACAAATTTCCATATTTCCATTACCAACACAACCTTAACCCTCCTGGCATTTTAAACATTAAATTCACTGATCATACATTTCAATATGGTCATTTGTGTGACTATACCGTCCGGATGTTATGTTCCCTTCTGGCAAGAGTGTCTCCCATAATTTTAAATTTTTCCTCGTGCTTATAGTATTCCCAATGTTAATGTTTTTCTAATAGATGCAGTGTCCCCAATGTTAAACCTATGGATGTTTTTAATATTAAATTCCCATAACATCATAGTGACATTGTTTCAAAATGGTAGTATTATGTTAAATTCTCTTAATGGCCATAGTGACACATAATGCTAAATTCCCATAACGGCCGAAGTCATCCAAATCTACTGTAATATTAAATTCCCATAATCACCATAGTGCTATTTTACCACTATAGTGATCCCTATAACTTTTATTTTCTATTGCACAGTTTTTACTTTCTATACTATCAAAAAAGAATTTGCAAATTGTCAGGTTGTATTTTTATCCGGTAAAAATAAAAACCGAATCATTGTTTCTGCAATTTCTCGATCATACAAACAGAGTCCACTGAAGAGAGCGTTACTCGACAAATTGCAAGTTACTTTGTTAAAAACATCGAACTGACGAAAATTACACAGTGTAATTTGAGAGTTTTCAATTTTAGTCACATGTATTATACTCAGAGCTTTTGAGATGGTCCCCGTGGTATAAAGTTAAAGACAAATATCAGAATGGGGCAAATAAAGCCCCTGCACAGTATCAACCATCTCACAAACATTACAGCATGCTGAGTCGGTAGAACCTAGTGTAGACCAACAAATACATCTGAGCCATGTTTTCATAGCTCTATATTCATTCTTAAATAGATTTTTGGGGGTATGAAGCCTCATACTCTGTTGCCTACTTGAAACCCTGCGCACATCCTGTAGACGACACATATTTGGTTAGGGGTAGAATTTATTTCCACGGTCGGGTAAGATTGGTTTCTTTAGGATTATATATATATATATATATATATATATATATATATATATATATATATATATATATATATATATATATATATATATATATATATATATATTAACCTTATCATTGTAGACCTACCTATCTACCTACGTACGTACCTACCTACGTACGTACGTACGTACCTACCTACCTACCTACCTACCTACCTACCTACCTACCTACCTACCTACCTACCTACATACATACATACATACATACATACATACATACATACATACATACATACATACATACATACATACATACATACATACATACATACAAATGTTCAACGAACAGAACGGAAAGTCATATCCAGTGTATCCCCCAGGAGTGTAAAATTGAGTTTAAAAAAAACCTTGGTGTCAAAACTGGGGGTCAAATAAAAAATCTGGGGGTCAAAAATGTACCGACAAATTTTCATCTAATCCATACTTTTTCAGCTGGTATAGGATATTGCAATTTGCACAATCTCTCTCTCTCTCTCTCTCTCTCTCTCTCTCTCTCTCTCTCTCTCTCTCTCTCTCTCTCTCTCTCTCTCTCTCTCTCTCTCTCTCTCTCTCTCTCTCTCAAATAAACCAACAGGCACAATTAACACAAACGCATTTTCCATTCAAAGGATACTTTTATTAGTTAATTTTCCTTTTAGTTTAATGTCGTATTTTTAACAGTCACTTTATAAGTTCTGTAGCAATATTATAGACCAACAAATTACATATAAGCCATTACAAAACTCCATAGATATATCTTATTAACAAAACGACAGTTTTAATATACTGCCTGTCATAAAATGTGTACTATCATCGGTTTCATTGTACATCGACCTAAAACACATTTATCCAAAACTCAGAAGGTAATGATTCATCTTCTCTTTAACAAGTTACACTTTAACTTTTAATCTTTCTTTCGTTGCATTAAAGTTAGCAAACTCTGCAAGAACCCCTTGAATTTGTAATCCAAATAATGAATTTGTCTCTGCAATTACTTATTTCTTTGTTCTGAAAGAATGTTTTAGGTAATGATGTGTTTAAAAGATATCTTGTGGTGATCAAGGGCAGATTTTAAAAATTCTCAAACGATATCATGAAAGGATTATTCACTTGTGTAGTCTTCGCAATCACGAAGTCACACCGGTAATCCCAATGCTTTGGATGTGCCATATTCTAGTCAAGGGAATATTTTATTCGTTTTTCATTAGAGTCAGATCCATATTTACTCTTTCGTGTTCTGCTTCTTTCACTTTCTTCGCTAATGATTCTTAGTGCACGCTGTTTTCATCTCGAGATCACATTTTAGTGCAACAAGAATTGAGGTTAAACATCTGGACACCATGCTGAACTCTATAGAATCGCGTGAGAGCTAGCGAGATCAGGGGAAGCTACTCTGTCATAATATTGCCTAATGGTAGTCTGGTTCTCTGCTCTATATTATACTCAGTATTACAGTGTGCAACACAGAGAGCATACAAAACAGGAAACCGGAAGAAGTATTCACGATGCCATCCCTAATGATGAATAATCGAAGTATACACGATTCCATGTCTAATGCAACGCGTTGGATATTAAATAAATCGTGATTATATTTTGCAAATCCTTTGCGTCAAAAAAACGCACAGCAAAAATTTCTGTGCGTCAATTTCCTCCAGTGTGCGTCCCTGACGCACAACTGTGCGTAAAGGGAAACACTGCGCTAAGTACAATATTTGGCTTTTGCAGAGACTATAATAAAGTATTCCGTGGAGTTAAACATACGCTTATTTTAGATCGATCAGAACAAAACGATTGCCTATTTAGATTTGGTGGTGATGATGTACAATTTATCATATACAAACTTGCGGTGTGGATGCCACGAATAACTTCATCATCGGTTACTAAAGCATTAGAATTAGATAGTATACTGGAAAAACGCACGAATAAAATTCATTTTCAACAACATAAAATATATCAAACAGCAATTCCGAATACCACCGACTACACATGGCGAGTTACAACAACATCGAGTGAGCAGCTGCCGCGTCATTTATTCGATGTATTCCAGAAACAAGCTCGACGTGGAAACCAAGAACAAAATAATGGAATATTTGACAACGCTGAAGTTAGACGGATTTATGCCAGAATAAATTCAAAACAATATCCAGAACGAGCGATCGAATGCCATTTTGCAGATAACAACAATAAAAACAATACTAGACCGTACATGTGCCTGCTCGACTCAATGCAGAAATATCAAGATACTGGAGACGGAACTCAGATATCGGTAGAAGAATTTCGTACACTTTATCCGATATTTTACTTTGACGTCAGTAAACATAGCGAACGAGCTGTGGACAGTACAACTGATATTGAGGTTATTTGGACGCTCGGTGCCGCTCCAACAGCAGTGTTAAATGTATATGCATTAGTGATAAGCGACAGATCTGTAACGATCGACCCCATTGGAGGTAAAATGACAATACATGCTTAATCTGTGATCGTTATATAAGATGACAAAATATATCATACAAGAAATGCATTTAACCGATGGCCAAGTTAAAAAAGTTAACAACTGCTGTTGCGAACCGGAGGTCGGTTTCATTGAAGATCAACCCAAGTGCTTTGGGGACTTTAACAAAATAATTGTTGACCAAAACTCAAGCGAATAAAAACGATCGAAAAAAAAATTTCGTTTAA